GACAATTTTATGTTAGGAACAATTTTTCTGACAAACTGGAACAAGTCATAGTGGCGCCCACCATCGAAGATCGTGCAGAATAATGTCTGTTAAGGCTGTTATAGCCTTTGTTTGAAAACTCATCGAAAACTTACGCTCTTTTAGCCTGGTTTGTGTCTTCATTTAACTTTGAATGCTACACAGTTGTGAAGTTTATAGTTGGATATCACTGAGGTGCACAGCTCAAATATTTCCATAGGCATATCTTACTAATTTTGTGTTTATGCTGTACTATGCTATTCTTTATAACTCACACTTTTAAGTAATGCTTTATTTCAAATGTTATAATTTCAGAGTTATAATTTAAGACAAATAGAATAGTCTTTGTTCAGGCTAAAAGAAAATGCTGTAGGCTGAAGCTTGTAGTCAGAATAGATACCTTCATCTAACCTCGTTCAACATTTTATTGATAGTTGAGCAAATGAGGTAATAGACATAGAATGCACTTATCCTACTGTTAGAGATGAATTCTCGTTTCTCACTTGTTAAATATTTGTCAAATGGCGATTACTAGGAAGAATTTCCACAAGTCAGTAGTGCCTGACGGATATCACTTAATGGCGTGATGTCAACATGCACGAAATGCAGACTTAGTCTGTTCTGGGATCATGCTTTTACAATAGCAGATAGTAGCTGAATCCTCTTTAAATTATCTGCTTATTTCTATTTTTGTATCATGGTAATGGAATGAACTGCTCTTCTGGAATAGAGCAAAAGAACTACTGCGTTTACCAGTGGGGTGTACTGCAGGAGGCAGGTGTCAACAAAACAGGTAATAAAACAATAGAATGGCTTACAAAAAAAAAAAAGTAAATATTTATTTGCTTACTGTCAGCAGATGTGGTGTTAATGCACCACAGAACTTACTGTAGTGAAGCTGTTCAGAAGCTTGACAGGTTTTTAAAGCTAAGGTTATTTGTACTGTAGATATGTTTGAATTTGGAAGGTTTTTTATTCTTTATTCTGTTTGTTATTACTGGTGTTTAGGAAAGTTCTTGTATTAATAAGAATTTAGGTTAAATTTTGAGTCTGACAACCATTTAAAAAGTATTATGTAAGGTCCTTAAAGCAAAAAAACTGCTATTGTCAGCACCTGAAACATAAAAGCACTAATTTTGGTAATACCACTCAGCTGGGGTTGTTTGTATCAGATCTAAATATTTTGTATGGAATTCAAGAGAAGTTTTTTCTTTTCAGGATTAAGGCATATTTATCAATATTGTCTTCCAAAATGTGCACTGAACTGCTTTGTACATTGTTTTATAGCAGAAAATAAGGCCTTAGAAATGTGTAAAATATTGTGTATTTTAAAAGACATATCCATCAGAATACTTTCAAGTGCTTTTTAGAAATTTAGCTGTCTATTTAGATTTATTGGATTATTAGAACACTAGAAAAACACATCTCACTTGCTGAAGTACTTGTATATATGATTTTACACATGACAACGTGTAATAAATTTGTATGAAAGAATAGGCAGTAATTTTAAATTTACTGCAACTTTTTGATTACAGAAAAAATCTCTGATTTCACATTGTCCTTGTTGTTTGCAGTGTTAAAGGAGGCGAATACCATGACTGTTCAGTGTAAATGGGCAAATGGCAGCTGTAGCTAAGCTTGTGAAACGTGTACTTCTGGCAGAGCTGTGCTTTGGCTGTGTTGTAGGGCAGGGCAGCTAACGCTGTGGAGCAGCTGTGATGGTGAACCTTACAAGTCAAACCTGTAGCAGCCACCTAAGAGCTTTTAAAATTTATCAGTGAGCAAGTGTTCGCACTGCTCACAGTGTCCACGTTATTTCCGTGTATGTAAGACCTCTCTTCTTTTGCAAGCATGAATCCTGTTTCCCTTCAAATGTCTCTGCTAGGGAGTGGAACGTAAGCTGACAACGTGTTTGGTGGGAAAGAAATGAGTAAGAGAGCTGTAGCTGCTTCAGGGGGCTGGCAGCAGGGGCTGGGTAGACACGACCTGCCTGTGAGCACTGTGTCCCTGAAGGCACCAGCAGCTCTGCAGGGCACTGTCAGCTCCGTGGTGCTGCTCTGATCAGCCTTGTACAGCAGAGGATGACCGGGAGCCCCAGCATCTAGCTGCAATAAAAGTCAGTTTGGGGATCCAGGTTCTGAATTTCAGTTAGAGAAGGCTGGAGTGGTTAGTAGGCAGCTAAACACAAGTGCTGCTTTTTTTCCCTCTCCTCCCTTCAACCTCTGCTTGCTTCTTGTTTACATTCAGAGCCTGTTCCATAATACCGCTTGGGATCTAGAATGCTATTTACATAAAAATCTCTAATCCTCTCTCCTGTTTTCTTATCACGCTAGATAGTATTGTTTTCTTTGAGTAATGCCCCAGGAAATTCTTCTATGTATATTTTCCATAAGTAATAAGAAACCTTTCTCAAGTGCCTCTGGAGTCTGCTCTTGCTGCCCTTTGCAGCAGAAGGTAGGGGAAGGGGATTTTGTTTATTTTTTTGAGTGTAGCTTTACAAGCAGATCAGGCTGACACAATAGCCAGTGAGAGGGGCCATCTCGCTCCCAGCTGTGCAGCCCTTCCCTATCTCCTCTCCAGCATGGCCTTTTGCTAAGCTGATTGATTTGACAAAGAAAACAGCCTGGCATTTGGGGGTGTGATGGTATTGAGGCGAATTGTTGAGGTGAATCAGCTCATCAGGGCTTCTTTGGTGAGTAGCAGGGGCAGCACTGGATGTCCTGCCATCGCTGCAAGTGACAGTCATCTTCTGGATACCCCTTCTGTTTTAAATGTATTGATATGTGGGAAATGAGCTCTTTAATATTTTAGATAAATGGAAACAAAGCATCTCTCCAGAGGTATTATCACTGCACTTAACATAATTTTTTTCTTATTGCTGCTTATAAGCCAATACAGACTGCTCCATAATTCTGACCACTCGGTAAATGTTTAAGTAATGCTTGCTTAAGACAAAGTCAACAATGAGCTGAAATGAAGTCCAGAATTATACAGCAAATCTTTAAAAGACCTGATTTTTATTGTATACTTGGCTGTACACCTAATGTACTTCCAGCCTAGTTGTCTGTTTCATCTGAATAATAAGCACAGATGAATTCATGGTGGATACATTCCTCAGTTCTTCCAGTGCATGCTTGTTTGTTCCTTACCAAACTCTTTACATCCTCTCAAAGGGCAATGTAGTAATTGTAACTTACTGCTGCTTTCAAATTGGGTGTCAGAACAACTCAAAAGTGTGCCTCGAAGGGCTGTTTCTTCATACCTAACAGGTACTCATGTAGCTTTCGTGAGGAAGCAATGTATTAGTTTTCCTCTGAGATACAGTGAGCAGTGGTTACAATTTTTGTATGCCATCACAGATTATCTCTGCATCATTTTCAGTGCAAAGGTATAGCTAGTAATGCTTTGCTCTGATTTTATAATATAATATTGTTTTCTAGACTTGAAGCACTCAGAAGGTTTTCTGAGGCTTAATGATGTTAATAGAGGGTTTTATCTGGCAGCTGAATCAATGCGATGTCTCACTGCTGTAGAAATTGTGGAGATTGTATCCTCCTACCTGTATAGCCATACTGTGTATTCACTTCTGTGGTCCTGGTGTAAGTTGGCCCTTGGTGAGACAGTTCAGCTTGTCAAACGAGGAGGGAACCACCCTTCCCTCCCGATACCAATTGATAGGAAGCAAGCCAAAATACTATGAGAATGAACCAGCAGCATTTTAGTAAGTGAATGTTAGTAATCATGGTCTTTGGGTTTTTTCTTGTTTTTTTTTTTGTTTGTTTGTTTGTTTTGTTTGTTTTTTTTTTTTTTTTTTTGTCCTGTCCTGCAGATAATAAATATTCAAGTTGGCAGGGCAGAAGTAATTGAATTGAAGGGGTTTCTCTTTTTATTTTAAATATATTTACACTTCAGTATAGTGTCTTTGAAACATTATTGTGAATAATTACCCTAAAGATAACGCAGTTAAAAGGGGAGTTGTGTAAATGTGGCAAATGTAACTTTAGGCTGGGGAGGGGAAGATTTTTCACTCAGTTGGAACAGGGACAAAGTCAAGTTTTTTAACTTGAGGGAGATGAAGAGAAGGGTGATTGTATGGAGAGAATGAGGGAAAACTTAATACAGCAAGAAAAACGAGCAGCTCTTCATAAGATCCTGTAATAACTTTATTAAAGAAAGCTGGAAAGTGCTGAATTCAAGACTTGGAGAAAAAAACTCCTTGTGAAAATAATGTATATGCTACTGTAAAACAGTTCTCTGATTTGGTGGTAGTAAGAGGAAATAAGTGTTTTGTTTTGTTTTTTTTAAATCTGTCTAAACAGTCCACAGGTTTTGCAATCAGTGTGTGAAAAGGGTTTACCATGTTCCTTTTTGATTCATGCTGCAAATTTCTTATGTGTACCTCAGATTTGAAAACACTATCATACCCATGATATCACATATAATTAGATAGCGATTTCTACCTGTAGCCCAAATTAGAGTCTGTAAAAGTCAGAATCACAGAATTTCTAGGTTGGAAGAGACCTCAAGATCATCGAGTCCAACCTCTAACCTAACACTAACAGTCCCCACTAAACCATATCCCTAAGCTTTACATCTAAACGTCTTTTGAAGACTTCCAGGGATGGTGACTCCACCACCTCCCTGGGCAGCCCGTTCCAGTGCCTAACAACCCTTTCAGTAAAGAAATTCTTCCTAACATCTAACCTAAAACTCCCCTGGCGTAACTTTAGCCCATTCCCCCTCGTCCTGTCACCAGGCACATGGGAGAACAGGCCAACCCCCACCTCTCTACAGCCTCCTTTAATGTACTTATACAGAGCAATAAGGTCACCCCTGAGCCTCCTCTTCTCCAGGCTGAACAAGCCCAGCTCCCTCAGCCGCTCCTCGTAGGACTTGTTCTCCAGGCCCCTCACCAGCTTCGTCGCCCTTCTTTGGACCCGCTCAAGCACCTCGATGTCCTTCTTGTAGCGAGGGGCCCAAAACTGAACACAGTACTCGAGGTGCTGGCCTCACCAGAACCGAGTACAGGGGGACGATCACCTCCCTAGCCCTGCTGGTCACAGTGTTTGTCTGGACAGTATAAAAAATCTTAGTCATATCTTAAGAACCATTTTCCTTTAAGTATAAAACTATTGTCCTTTATAACGCATTAAAATCAATCACTGTGCTAAAAAACCCAGACCTCCCCCCCAAACTCTTAAGTATATTTAAGGTCAGTGAAGTATATACACCAGCAGGATAAAATCAGCAGTTGCATACAGAGATTTCATGGTAGTGACATCAGCAATTCAAATTTAAGATATGGACACAATAGCTTGAAGGTTTTTATTTAATAATTCTTTATTTTTGAGTTGAAAAGGGGAAAAAGTGATTAAAATGCAAAAGTTTTAGTTAATAGATGATCTAACATGTTTCTTATCCCTCCTAAGGTGGCTTTTCTTCTTGTTCCTAATGAAAATGTGAATCATAAATGGAAGATGTTGGTATTATGACATGACATCCTTCAGTAAATCATGATACTTTGGGTGGCTGTTGGCATTTTCTGTTGGCTGTACTTCTGTTAGCTGTTCTATGCCTTGATTTGTGGACTTCCATACTTTTCATTTCTTCTCTTTTAAGCTCTTAAATAACAGAATGCTTCTTACTCTAAGTGCTAAGTTTATATATGTTCCTTCTGAAAAGTATTATGTGGATCCAGGTGGAGAGAAAATAATTTCAAATATTTCATCTTAAGGACTACTTTGGAAAGGCTTTCCTTTTTCAGGAAATGGCATTCTCTGTGTGACAGCACGGGGTACCCTTTAGTTGCCCTTCAAGCAAGGAAATGTCACAACTGGCCTTTTTCAATGGGAATACATTTTCTCAGTTACTGTTACTGGAGAATAGTAACTGTTAATAGTTACTGTTACTGAAGCGTTACTGAAGAATACCTGTGATTTGGGAAGGGGTGTTCGTGGTCTCACCCGTTTATCCAAAAGGCATCTTCTTGCTCTTGTCAACTTAAAAAAGGTTTCCTTTTGTAGAATCCCCTCCCAGGTAGAGGCTTCTGACCTGGCATGCTCTTGCTCTAAGGTTTTTGATGTTTGCATTTATTTATGAAGAAGCAGTCTGTTAAGAGAAATCCACAGGCACTACTGATTTGGAGAGATGGGGAAAGCTTTCAGAAAGCCCCATCGTTTTAGCAATGGTACTTTCTAAAGATGTTCTAAAGTTCCTGTCTGCAGCAGGTGTTCTGTAAGATGCTCCAGCTGTTCAGGACTTGAAATAACCTCACTTTACAAGTTGTCGGATACCACTTATGTACAGGTACCACATAAATAACTTGCTTCAGCCCTTTAGTACCAGGTATGTCTGTAGTGACATGCATCTATGTTGGACTATGGCAGCTTGGGAGACTTCTACTGCTTGTTGACAAGACCAGTATGGCAATCTGAGCTTTAGAAACCTTTGTGTTTGTTTTCTAATGTTAGGATGCTGTTGCAAGGTTGTATTAGATACTGACCCAAACCCCTGTCTTGTGTCTTTTGGTACCTTTAAGATGCACTGGGGTGAGCCTTTTCTCAGTTACTTTGAGGAGATGACTGCGTGAAGAAGAATATCTTTACTTTTAAACTATTTTGTAGCTTGAAAGCAGGAGAAACAGGAAAGTGGTGAATAAAGGAAAAAAGAAATAGCTCATAATTTGTGTTAAAACCAATGCACTTCTCCAGCATGTTGTTTTCTGTTGAGTAGAGATAACTTAAAGATATTTTTTCTATATTCTTTAGTTGAGATTTTCATAAGCTGCCGTTACATGGAAGGAACAGTATAGAACTGAATAGTTAAATTTGCCCAGTAGATGATGAAATCGTACTGTATGCATTTATAGGCAGATTGTGCTTTTGGAAAGCTAACCCATTAATGGTAATTGCTGAGAGGAATGATTAGTATGCTAGAGCTCTATCAAAAAATAACACGACTGTCAGAGAGCAGCCAGTTCAAATGAATAAGCATATTCTCCACTTCACCTGAACGTTTCAATTACCTAATTCCAGCTCTGTGTTTTTCTTTAACTAGTAGAGGTTGCAGTGGGGTGCCACTGCTCCTTTCCATTTGGTCTGCCGTGCCCGAGGCACTCAGTGAATGCAGAGCTGCCTGCAGGGTCCCAGGTCAAGCGATAAACATCGACTGTGCTGCATTGAAGCACTCCCAGCATCGGGCACAGGTGCCAGATGCATCTGCTTGTAGAGGCTAGGCTGTAGCCTACCAGCTGGGGCCCTTTAGAGGACTTTGTGCTGTGGCCTATTTGCAGAACTTCCAGACAACCGAGCCCTTGTTGTAAAGCGCGAGTGTTCGTTAGGTGTTTGGTATCCAAGTGTTGCTTTCAGCTGTACCTTTGGGTTTGCTGCTACTTTGCATTTTCTCCCTTCCTGATTTTTGTGTTTTTTCATTTTTCTTCAGTGAAACAGCATGCTTGCCAAGGTGTGAATAGCACCTCATATAAATGCTGTTAATTCTGACTTGCAAATCAGTGTATATGTATTAATTACCTTTTTTTCAATCTTAAGTGTTTCTATTTTGTACTCCTGCTTCGTGTTGCTGCAGGAGTATCTGTGGTTTCACAGGGATGGGGAAGTTGTTTAAAAATAATAATAATAATAATAAATCAGCATTCAAGGCACTTAATTGTTTAAAGCCTGCATTAAAAAATGCACTGTAATTGAGCAGTGCAGCCTGTGAAGAACTATGTCATTTCAGTTCAACTAAGAAGAATGCCATGTTACTGTCATCATTTATGATACTGGACAACTGAGCTCCGTGTTCTTGCCTTGTGTAATTAAAACATTGGAAATGATGATTTCAGGGAGTTAAAACATCAGGAGTGTGTGCAGACCCTGTCATGGCTCTGCCAGCTGTACAGCCCACAGGGCTACGGTGAAAGGGGCGGTGGTGGGCTTGTGCTGGTGAGCAGGCTTAGTGGGGATGCACCAAGCTGTTCACGCTTGCAACTCCCTGCAGTTCCCCAAGCCCTGCAGACACCTCATACTTCCCCTGGGCTGGGAAATGCTCTAATGGGCAAACAGGAATTGGCTGCGAGCTGCAGGGCTTCAGGAGCAAATGTCCAGCTCTGCTTATGGGGAGGGAGGGGCAGGGCAGGTAGGAGCTCCTTCAGCTGATGGGCAAGCATCACAGGACACTTCCAGCCCAAGCACTACGCCACTCATGCACCTTAACAGACTTGGGACTGTATTCCAATACACTAATACACTTTATTTTTATTTATTTTAATTCTGGATGAGTCTTAAATGTACTTATTTTTCTCTTTTAAGCTGACACTGTTTTCTATAGGGCTAATGTCCCTGGTCCTCACATGATGCAAATGTGATGTTTCCTGTAAAAGTGGCACAGACATCTAGCAGCTTGGGAGGAGCAGCAAAAATAGAAACATAACTGATTCGTAACAGTTGTCCTCAGGCCTTGTAGGGTAACAGAATTAAGCCTTTCCCTATTCTATCCATTTAAATGCCCAGCAACTAAGCAGGGATTTTCAAAGTAGACTTGAAACTGTTTCCAGGTTCCATTTAAAAGGCTGGTGAAAACTGGAATGCCAGCTCTCTGAAGGCAGGATGTTGGTATATTAATGCTGGAGCACAGTGAGGAGCACGTGATGCAGGATCCAGCAGATCTTAGGGCAGTTATTTCTGCTTGTCTAACACAGAACATTTCTGCTTGTCTGACGCACAACCATACTAGTCAGACTATACCTTTAAAGCTTATTTGCAGTCAAGGAAGGTCAAAATTGAGCATTTGAGAGAGAGTAAACCACTGGGGTTCTGTAAAATTTTAACTATTTGGATGACCATGAAAATCAAGAAACTCGGGTTTGTTAAGCTCTCGAGCAGTAACAGCTATGGCTTTGTGTATTGCTTTGCCTGTCTTGTTTCCTCTTTGAGAGAGGTTGATTAAATAACATCTCAGAACTGCCTGCTGGGTTGTTTGAAGTGTTGTAGCTTTTTATTGCTGATTCGTTTCCTTGTAATCTTATGATGTTTGGTGATCTGGAAAGCTGGATTTTCAAGAAGGGCCAGACTGAAATCTGTTCAGTGTGAAATGTGTTCAGCTCTTACAAGGTTGGTAAGTTCTATGTTAAACCACCTTGAAAGCTATCTTATTTTTCAGGATTTATTTTTCGTATTTTTTTTGGGGGGGGGGGGGGGGGGCAGGGGGGAAGGAGGAAGATAGGATTACCGTTAATAAAGGTAACAGCAGCTTACTGGAAAAGTTAAATATTAACAGTATCCTCTTTGATCTTACTCAAAGACTGCTCTACAAGAAAGTCGTGTATCTTCAGTGTCCTACCCGAGCTAGTTGGAAAACTTACAGTTTTAACTGACTTTAAATAGTAAGTATTTGAAGTTTTGCCTGAATGCATTTTCCGTCAGTGTGTATCATCCTAAAGATAAATGAAGTAGCACTGGAAACCTCAAAGAAACCTGAATGCAACAATGACCACATATATATATTTTTAATGTAACTTTAGCTGTTCTTTTAAAATTGAGTGTTTTTGCTGGGATGATTACTTTTCTACAACTAAATTTGCATTAGAGAAATCATTATGTCTGCTATCCCGGTAGAAAACAGCAAGAACTATAGCATAGAGGGGAAAAAAAGGTAGTATGATATGATAGACTCCTAGAGAAATGAAATTTTAAAACGGACTTGGGAATAACACTTGAAAATAGGAAATGAGACTAAAAACTGTGATGTTCACTGTAAAACAAATGATACAAAATGTTACTGCTTTCTGTCATTGGAACACAAACTTTGTAAATAATGCGTTTTAAAGATGACTTCATCAGGAATATCTTCACTCACAAAAAGCCCTGTGAGGAAAGTGAGAACCCCACTACTTTTTCTGTCTATAGGGATGAGGCTCAAACAACACAAACCACTTTTTTTTTTGGCGTTGCATCTTAGTATTTGCCACAAGCCAGAGCTCTGGCAGTTACAGAAACAACAATTTTTAGACACAGTGCTTATTTTATGTACATTATTCAAAATAGTTGCTAGTGATACTTCTGGGTAGCTCCAAGAAAATGGCGTAACGCTCTTCTAAAGAAAAGCTGCATACACCACCCTTGCATACGCATTTGTAGTAACTGTATTGATCCTAGTAAGTATAGTGGTCCTTCTAGAAATGTTTTTATTAAAATATTAAACTCTATTTAAAAAAAAAAAAAGCTTCTATTATCTCACTGTAGCACAGTAGTGCATGTTCTTTTATACTGGTTGGATCCTATTGCTACTTCTAACACTCAGAACAACTCTTCCATGCTGTAAGAGTGACCTTCAAGTTTCATTGATCTGAATATTAGGTATATAAGGTTTGTACTCCTAAAGTGCAGAACTGACTTTGCTTGTGTGATTCAGGTGTGCTGTGCATGAACAATGCAACAAATGGGTGCTCTCATAGATGCTCTAATACTTCTTAGGACAGGTGGACTTATTCTCTGGAATCTTGTAATGTGTAGGGCTGTTTCAAGCCTGAAGTCAGTAGACTTGTGGTGCTGAAACCTCTCAACTAATTTGCTTCTAGACATTGTCTTCCCTGAAAGGTTTTCATATCTGAACAAAAAGTAAGGAGTGGATTGGACGCTTGCAAGCAGCTTGCATCGCTGATAGAGCACTTCTGCTTTAGCACAGTTACGTTCTTTTCTTCGTAAGAGCTTACTGGTATCAATGTGCTCATTCACAATTATGCCTCTCCTTGACTTGAGAAAATATCAAAAAAAGTTCATAGACTTTCTATTAGTCTGTTCACTTTGGTAGGGAATTTTACAACTGGTCCAGTATCAAAATGTAAGCAAACTTCAGAATCAGTATTTACGTGTTTATTGGAATGATGTTGTGAATTGCTACTTTGTACAGAACTCCTAAGTCTAGTTAAGTAATGGCCTCATTTTGTTGAGGTTTTCTTTTTGGATTTGTTTTTCCTGCATAAAACAGCTTCAGTTCAAAACTTCTGCCTTATAGTTTAATTAAGTGCTTTCTTTTTCCATCTTTTCTCTAGGTAATAAAATAGTGGGCCAAATATCTCATGAAAGACTTCCCATATATGTACTCCAAAGTGATACATATTTTTAGATGTTTTCAGTGGACATACTTGTTGCTCTCTATTTTAGACACAGTGTAATTTCCCAGCCAGAAGCCTGTTTCATTTTCCTCTCTGAAAATGAGGAACGTAAAAGGAATTGATGCTGAAAATGACATGTTCTTGTACAGTTTTGGAAATGCATGACGATGATATCTTGTAACTCTACACAGTGAGTTTTATTGGGCTCTGTGTAGTGAATTAGCCTTTTCTCTGCTTGGCAAGCTTTTAGGGGCTTGTAATACATGTTTTTCTTTTCCTGCTTCTTCTGTTCCTCTTCTGATTAAAAATAAAATAAAAGATGTATTTTAAAATTTGTTTTATTCTGAGATCTGCTTATTCTAGTGTATGATAGGTTACCTCATTAACTCAATTCACAGGCTAAACAGAAACAAAGTTCAAAATTGCTGTAGTTGTCATCTATAAATCTTTGATTATAAAGAAACATTTAAGTTGTGGTTGTGAGGACAAAAATGTTAGAAGGTTTGTACACGGTTATACCTGTGACAGTGATGCTTGTGGTAATGCTAAGATGCTGACAGGTTTGTTAACCCTCCCGTTAAATGAACTTGTGGTATTTTTCTCTTCTTTGGGGTGTGTTTGTAGAGGATAATAGAAATATTTGCTGTATGCCGTTCTTAAATCTTGTAAATTAATGTCCAATAAATCAAACTGTGTGCATGTATATATGAAAGCAAATGTGTGTATTCATATGATATTGATGATTTTTCAGTATATATGTTTCTAATATCAAGTATTCCTAGTGTTCAGTCTTGTCACTGAAACCTTTAGAAAAACTTACACTTTTTTGTACACACAAGTCCGAATGTTCTTAAAATACTCCTAACATCTTAGAGATGTTAATGGGCTAATACTGAACGAACTGCAGTTAAAGTGAGTGGCTAGTTTCCTTGAGGAAGACCTACCAAAATTAATCAACAGTTAATATGAATAAATACTATTGCAGCAAAACCTCAGATGCTGTGGGGGAGAGCTATATAACTTGCTTTGCTGAACACATTGTTATCAAAAATAAATGCAAAGTCTTAAAAAATATTTCCTAACATTCATTCACTTTAAAAACACTCCTGTATAGAAACACTGGCAGCTCTTCTGTTTGCTTACCAGGGCTTCGGGAGGTGGAACATTGAGATTAGTGTTTCTGTGCTCCTGGGGTTTCTGGGTGATTGTTTTTTAATAAGTTTCTGGTGCTAATAATTTAAAGAATAAAAGCTGGAGGGGGTGCAACTACAAAGAACCCAAAGTGTATTTTAAAAAGTCATTATTTTTGAGGTGCTGGGAGAGTTGGCTCATGATTTTGGAATGCGTGCTGTTAACAAGGCTTCCTTTGAAGAACTCTCTGTAGCCCAGTGTTAAAGGCAGTCGGAGACTAACCATAATTAATACAGTCTTTCAAATTAGTGGTGAAATTCATCAGCCAGTTCCAAAATCTGACCTTTATATCCTACTAATAACAAAACACAACCTCTTCTTTCTTATTTAGTGAAAGGGAAAAGAAGTGCTTGAAGTATAACTCTGACTGTATTCATAAAAGAAGCGATGAAAAATGAGTATGAGGTAATTAGAGGGAGGCACAATGTATGTAACATTACCTGGATCAGGCTTATGAAAGAGAGCTTGATGCAGTGCCCCAAAGCATCGCTCTGTGTGTGCACGGCCTGCACCCTACGTGGGAAGGAAGAGATACCTGGATGTACATAGCACTTTCATGTGGTGCTATAGTCATATTTTTGCATGGGAGGGGGGGATTTGACAACTCGATTATGTGGTCACTTAGTTTTCAGCAGTTAATAGTGCCATTTTTATCTAAAAAACAAACAACCCCACAGCACAGCTGGCCAAACACCCCCATCAGCAGCCCCCTACCCCACTCCTGTCAGCGTGCCTCTGCTGGGCTGCTGGAGCTGTGCACTTAGCTGTTTCTGTGCTTTTTTTTTTGCTTTTTTTTTTTTTTTATTGGGGGAGAGGAAAGGATAAAAAGAAAAACAAACATGGAAAATATTTGGTGTACACCGTTTTTAATTAATCTGCTAGGAGTACATTTGAGTTCTTCCTCATGGCTGGGTTACTGCTGCTACAGGGACAACTCTGAATTACAGGGACAGTTCCGCACCGATGTAGCTCTCTCTTAATTACTTTACAGCACACTCGCTGATTCCACCTCAGACCCACACCATGCATTTTTGGGTTGCCGGCGTGGTGTGGGTCAGCTCCCCGTCCCCTCCCTTTTCTGTGCGGGGCCACAGGGTCAGCTTGGGAGCAGCTGCCCCACAGCTCTCGTCTTGCTGCAGCCTGAGCTGTCCGTGCTGCGTTTGGGCTCCCACACCCTCCTGAAGGGCCAGAAGCAGGGCCCGGCCCCCCTGTGTGTGACGCCCCCTGGAGCTGGGGGGCCCCGGGCCGGGCCGAGCCTCCCCGCCTGCTCCCGCCCGGCCCCGCCCCCGGCCCCGCCGCCCGCCTCCGCCCTCAGCGCGCCCCCCGGCCCTGCGTCAGCGGGTGCTGGAGCGGGAGCGGGCGGGCGGCAGCATGGTGAGCCTGCAGGACGCGCTGCTCTTCGAGCTCAGCATCAAGTCCCTGCTCAAAGCCTGGAGCGGCGGTGGCGGCGGTGAGTAGGACGGCTCCGGGCTGAGCGGGGAGGCTCCTTCGGGAGCGCTTGGAGCGGTCCGGGGCTCCCCGGCCGGAGCTGCGAGCAGCCCGGCCCTGGGCTTTCCAGGAGGATTCCCTGCCTGGGCTGCAGCAGCCTCCCCGAGGGCGCCCTGTCCTCGCATCACCCCTTAATGCACGCTTCAGCGCAGGGTCTGGGGCCGGGAGCTGCCGTGCACGGCGTGGCACCTCTCGGGCTGGCAGCAGGACACCAGGAGGCAACGGAGGCGACGTCCCAGCTCGGCAGGGATGCTGTGCAGCTCGTGCTCCTAAAAATTGAAAGCAGCAGCAGCAGGAGGTACCCGCTGCCTCAGCCCGAGGCTGCGTTTCGCAAGGCATTGCTTCAGGCGTGCTGCAGCGTGCGGCTCTTCTTGGCCAAGGGCTCCACCAAAGCTGCTGGGATTTGTACCCCAATACAGCGCTGCTTGCCCGATGATTCACGCGTGTCTTGTTTAAAAGAATTAGTAAGGAGTTATTTATGGTCCAGCGTATTAATCAGCCAGGAGTGCAGGCGTTCAGCCACGTCCTAATAGCTCAGGCGTGAGACTTGCTTTTTGCACTAAACTGCTGTGATTTGTGTTTTGGTCTAATAACTTCTAGGCTCACGGCTCTAACTTAGAGCAGCGAATATTTCAAAACAGGCGTCCCGATAGATTTGGCTCTTCACTTCTTGTGCTTGCATCTTAAAGTTTAACTGTAGCTGTTCCAAATTCTGCCGTGTGCTTGGGAGGTACTTGTGCTCTTGCTGAATCATAAATGATCCTAATTAAAAATATATGTCTTATAGAAGAAGTTGGAGGTGTCATGAAAAGGATCAAAAATCCTTAAAGTTGGTTTTGTTAACGTGTATTGTTCCCAAACTAAAGTAGAGCATGGGATGCATTCAGTTAGAATAAATTAAGCCTGCAGCTAGTTAAATAATTGCCGTATAAATAAGGAGCTGGACTGCAGGGTCTGGACTAGACAGCAGCATCAGCTACGATAAAACAAGGAGCGGTAACACCACCGGGGCAGTGAGGAGAGCTTGCTGGCGATGCTGTGCTTTCTCCTGCATGCCCTCCGTTATGTAAGCACAGCGGAGATCTTCCCGACTCTTCTGCCGCGAGGAGGTACCGGGTGATGCACTGACCGCCTCGTTCCCTGTGCCGGCCAGGCAGCCGCGTTTCACCTGGCGTTTCTCACAGCCCTCGCTCGGTTTTGCGCAGAGGGCCGTGATTAGGGCATAGCTGCGTGCCAGGGCAGCTGTGCACAGGAGCCGGGAGCAGACCTGGACGCAGCCTGCACGTGCCTTCACGTGTTGTGCGCTGGCAGCTCCGTGAATTGAGCCGAGGGGGCAAGCCACTTGCTTCTCCCCCCTGAAACATTTTCCAATCAAGTGATGCAGTGTGTGCAGAGCAAGGAATTACATAATGTTTATGTTGAGCACGTGTTTGGAAATTCAATAAACTTGCATCTGCTGAGAACTTATATAAGGAAGGTTTCTCCTCTGCCTTCAAAGATTCCTTAAATGCAGATGCTACTTTTTACACTCTGTGATAACGTGAGAGAGTTGTATGCTTGCATGTATTTGTATGTACATAAAAATAATCATCTGTAAAAACCATACATAGCAGAAACCCAGCAAAGCTCCATGGGTCCAGCTAAGGGCTTGCTTAGCTGGCATAATGTTGTTGCAGTGCTGGCTAAGGTTTTATTGTAGTTGATCTTTTTTCTTTCACCGACAACAATGAAGTGACATTCGTATGGCCTAGTTTCAGGACGCTGTCTCGCTGCCAACAATTTCAGGCATTACTTCTTTTTAGAGGGAGTCAGGCATGTCCTCTTAAACCAGTGGTGTCGTGAGGATGTTCCTGCCTAAGGATTATTTGCTTACTGAAGTTGTGGACGGAGCGGTGACTTTATGCTGCCTCGTCCTTAGGTTGCATGGATCTTTCGTAGTAATTGAGTTCTGATAATGTACCTTGGATCTAAAGGGGAAAAATGTGTGATCCTAAAGTTATGGAATCCTGTTTAGTTCATTGCAGTTGAGATGTGTGTCTCTGTTAAATGATTCTTCTGAGGTTGCTGATTCTGTAGCAAGAGCACCCATTTTAACTGTTGTTTGTGTTTTCAGTTGGTGTGAAAAAGCTCATGCTTTGTCCACAGAAACCTTTGTTTAATGGAGGTCTAGGTGCCATGAGAATTACTTTCAGTAATGTAATATATGTGGTCAGAAGCCAAATGTGATGCTGCTCGCAAAGGAAAGCATTATGTAATGGAAACCTTTCTCAAAGATAAGATGTGTATTTTAATGAAACCTATGTATATATTTCTGGGGCTTATCGTCTGTAGATAGTAACCAACTGCTTTCCAGTGAGCACAGGTATGATCCATTACTGCTTTCTAAAAGCTCTTCTGTGTTTCTGATATCTACCCTAATAATCATCTTGTTAAGTTCGGAAATGAAGAATTTCTTCCAGAGAATAAAAACAGAATGAAGATGTACCCAGTATATTTCCAGTAACTTGGAAATGGTTGCGGTGTGTCTCTTTGGCAAACAGGTCACAGGCTCTGTCCTCTGCGTGGTTGTCTGTCTTTAAACCCCAAAGTAAGGTAGATCTGTGCTGGAGGTAGGTCATGGGGTTTTTTGTATTGGTTTGCTCAGCTTGGTTCAGATGTCCAAGTTACTTAAACCTGAGTGTGTGAGCCAGGGCATGGTGGTAAAGCCAGCTGCATCTGTCTGTACAACCATACATTTGGAAAATATATTATAAAATCAGAGAGAAATGAAACAACACTGAAGGGAAGTGAATTAGCAGAACTACAGCTGCCAGGTGCTGACAAGCCTGTGAAAAGTAGGGAGCTGCCTGGCAGGTATCCTGAATCATTCTCTCTGTGAATGAAACAAAATCACACAGAGTTGAAGAACTGCTTGCTTTCCCCTAGGATTGCCTGACTGGAGATTGCTTTCTCTTTTACCAACAAAAAATGAACTCGTGGCTCTCAGGAGAGGTGCTGCTCCGATAACATTGTATTTATTTAA